TCTTTCCCTCATTATAAAGAAAAGAAAAAACAAAAAAACAAAAACACACACACATATACAAAAACTGAGAACAAAGCAAAAGTTATGATTTATCCTTAAGACGATATCCTTAGTGGTATCCTCAATGTGAATTTATATTGCAAATAATAAAATACTAACATGAGATCTTAATGTATTGTATACTTTCTCAACTTTAAGTTGGTATGTGGCTAATACTGGAATGTCAACAAATGTATTGGCAACCTATCCAAAAATACTAGGTTGAGGTAGCTGCTTTCAGCTTTTTTTCCTCTCTTTAGCTGCAACACTCAGTCTCACTGAAACTTTTAGGTTGACTTGCCAATGTGCTTTACCCTGGAGCTATCAAGCTAACCTCGTATCTCTGATGAATCAAGAGAAAAGTCTATGCAGTTTTGAACTTTTTTTTTTTTTTTAGGACTACAAAAACGGAAAAGGAAAAGCAAATGTGTCTCTTATCCTTATTGCACATGTACGATCTCTTACGCACACATATGCATTTCAAAAAGCAAAAGAATGAAAGGGTGTGATTTAGCTCTACTTTAAATTCAGATGCCTAAACTGCCAGCATAGGCAACGGAGATCTCATCAATATCATGAAAGCCTCGAGAAGAACTGAGCTGACCAGGTCTCTAATCCCTTAGGAACTAGATCTCCGTTTACTACTGACAGCTTAGACGTTTCGTGCAACACAATCATTCATGAGCATTCGCCCTACACACAGTGTCGTATAAACGCTAAATTTAGGCATTAGTCTCAAAGTGGATCCTCTCCTAAATTTTTGTAAATGCAGTAGTCCACCATTTTTGCAATAAAAGTCATAATTAAAAAAAGAAAAACTTTTAGTGTAACTGTCATTTAAATCAATTCAACTATAAAAATCTATCTTCTCAAATGGTAATAGACATTTAACCCACAAACATAAACGGGTAGCCTCTCAGTTATTCATATTCATCACCTTTTACTTGCTATATAAATAAAAAGCACTGATAAACAAAAAGAATTATTTTGTTTCAATATTGTCGTTAAAAAGAACTTGCATAAGCAAATATTTTCTCCCATTTCATATTTAGACATTTGAACTGATTGAACAAACTTTCTAAACTAGGTAAAGGCTATACAAGACAATAAGTCAATACAGAACTGTGGAAATAATTCCTAAAGTCAGAAAAAAAAAAAAATGTTTTACCCCATGTCGTATAACTTTTGCACAATCCTCTGCCATTTTTCCATATATTAAAATATTGATGCTGTTGATCCTTGAGCATGAGTTATTTAAATCTAGAAAAAGAAGCAGAAATTATTCTAACTACTATAATTTCCGCAAAACAAAACAGCAGTGGAAAGGAGTTTCTTAAAAAAAAAAAATTTCTACAAAGTCAACATTTCTTATTCAAATAACCAACCAAAAACACCTTTAAACAGAAAATCCTTTAAAATAGTTATGCAACTGCTTTGGTGTGCTTACTTAGGTATATCAAGTAGAATATTCTCCATAAAATAACTATTTAAAATGTGAACATATAGTGCATCACTGTACATTTAATAAAAATGACAAAAATTCTTGAATTGGACAAATCAATATACAGTGTTAGCAAGCAAATATTATCTAGTCACATCAGATGTTTATTAACAACATAGAACATCCTGTTGCATTATATAAATCTGGAGATAATCGAGGACTTAGATGTGTCAAGTTAAGATGCTTTCCTGGGAGCGGGGGAAGGACCAAAGCAGAAATTAAATGATTTGAAATAGTTTTCTAGCTGTTATTGATTCAGAAATTGATAAAGTGTGTTTTTTTCTTAGTTTTGCATAGCAAGAAGCTGAGAAAGATACTATTATAGCTGTACACATAGATAATGCATTTCCAGGACAATATTTTAAAAGGTTCTGCAACAGGAAGTCTATCAAAATAGAAAGACATTGCTTCCAGAAACTTACCTGGTATAAACTTAAAATAATACATTTGTCTAGGGAATTGACAGACTATTTAGAGAGTAATATAGAATGTATATTAAGATATAGTAAAATATATACATTTTACTGAACACTAAAAAAGCAGGTACTAGTTATCTAATAGCACGGTGTTCAGAAAAAGTGCTGAGAAGTTTAACAAAAATAACTTTTAATGTAAATGCAATACCTTGAAGAACAACCTTGAAAAAGTCTGTCCCATCTCTGAGTTTCGTTAGCGGGTAGCAAAGAACAACTGTTCCCTAAGAAGAAAAAAAACTATGTAAACTAAGTCTACACATCTAAGTTACTGAAACACTGACTACAGATGAGACGTCTGTAAGTCAAAAAAAAGAAAAGGCTGACTTAAAGTAATAACCACAAATTATCATCTGAATTCTAAAAATAATAATAATAATAATAAAACCTGTTCAAGACAGAGGTGAAGGACAGTATCTCTGCATGAACTATTACCAGCAGATACTATTGAGGCTACTGACTAACTGAGAAGCTTAGATCACACAACTAAATAGCAGTTACCAAAGTAAGCTTTATTAGGTACACTGATACACAAAGGCTAAAAGGGAGCTAAAAAGGGTGGGACAATCAAAATCTTAAAAAGAGAAGGCATATTTCTCCAGAAATACTCGCAAGTGATTACAATGTATATATTAAAACAAAATCATAATCAAGAGTTAAGAGATGCATATGAAGATAAATAATCATTTGTGAAAAATAAAAATCTGTATAGCTGGGAGAACAAGCCAGTATTACATAGGCTGGAAACTGCAGTTTGTCTATGGATTTGTCACTAATACACATGCTGTAAAAGATATAAATGTTAAAGAATTCTCTTAATAGTGAAATTCAATTTTTAGCAAGGCAAAAATCACTGGCCTGCAATTCCAGTTGTGTTAACATTTCTTTGTAACAGATGTTTTTTGTTAGAAAAATGGCATCTCATCAGAAAAGGTCCTTTGTTAACAGTGACAAAAATGTCAATCAAAGGTAACCCTATAGAGCATGGCAGGTAAAGCATTATTATTGCTTCCAAGGGTAGGGGGGAAAAAAGTCAGTTCAAAAGAGAAAAAAAAACACATAAACATTTGAAAACTGAACCTATAAAACTGTTTAAGAGAACTATATAGCAGTACAGCAAAGAAAACAGAAGTGTTGTGGTACAGATACAGGAGGGGCAACGTGTCTATAAATACACAACAGTAACATTAAGAAAATAGGTGGGTAAATCACAGTGGTCTTACACTATGCATATTCCATGGAAAGCTTGACTTAAATGTCAGGAAATAGAATTAATAAATGGAAACAGTTATCAAGTCACTCTGTAGGATTACCACCTCTTAAACCAAGTTAGGATAAACTACATAGCAATAAGCTGTTATTATAGATGCTTTTAAGAGCAAAATCAGGACTACAACACGTTGACTGCAAAGGAACCGAAATAAATTCAATATATATTTTATGACAAATTACTAAAATACCACAAAGCCTCCTTTTCCAATCCCCAGCATGTTTCAGTTTTATTACAAACACACACACACACACAAGGCCATGCTGAATGGTATTTAAGATGGACCACATTGCTTTATTGTTTCTGAGACATGAGTAATGCTTCATTTAGACTAAAATGGAGGTCCTCATCTACGATCATATGTTTTTATCAGCTAAACGCCTACTTTTCACAGGGAAGACTGATGAGCTTTGCAGAGAGACTTAAGTATCAAATATTTATTTTAACAATTAGCATCCACAGAATAAAGCTTCAGAAACGTTCCGAGATCTCCCTATAAATACTTAAACAAAGGTTTTCCATTTATTTTCTAAATTATAATGTTGTTTAAAATTTCAAGTATTAGTACATAATTGTTCTTGATAAGATTGTTTCTCTTGAATTGTGTTCCTGAATAAGCCAAATATTACACAGTTTTTCTTGTAAGAAAGTCTGTAATAACAAAGTCCCCTCAGCAACACTACTAACTTTTTTTCTCTTTTCTTACTAATGATGTTTCAATCCACACAAGCATGCTATTTGAAAACAGAATACACTGATGAGCTAGGGACTCTGCTTTCTATTCACCTGTAGTTCTTTATTTTCCCTTCTACATCCCACTAGTTTCAAATGAATTCTCTAACTTTGGGACCATGTTCTTCTCTATTACAATCTGGGTCACGCTGCTTTCCTCTATATCCCAAATACCTGCTCCCTAGCTCTCTTCCTCATCAGAAAAAAATCCACATTGTTTAATCCTTTCTCAATACACCTAAAATACTTGGGCTCCAACTTTCAGCAAAACCTGTTCTGCAGCAAAACTTGCTCTTCCCCCCAAAAATCCTGCACTGCTCATTTTAACCACAAACAAACTTCTTCCAAAAACTTCCTCCTTCCATGTGCCACTAGACTCACTCTCACACTGCCTATGTGCAATTCCTCCAGAGAATGCGTCTTCCTCCTTGCCACAGCCTAGTTTTTCCATCTGGTCCTGCAGGTGATTAGGCAGCTGTTCTGGGACATCACAGCACATTTTCAGGTTTGGTTCAACTGTCAGAGCAAAGTTTGCAGGACAGACAATGAATTAAAAGGAGGCATCAGCTTTAGCTCAAGCACTATCTAACTGAAGACTCATGCACTTTGCTTATGTCACATTCCCACAAATTTAAATTAAATGTTGTACTCTTCAAAGGGATGCTAGAAAGCAAAGAAGTTTCGGAAAACAGGACTGACAAACACAAGCCAGACAGAAGTTTCCTGGATGCTTTTTCTGGCTTTTTCCCCAGAACACACTTCACAATAACCTGCCCTCCCTTCTTTCCTCCTCAAAGTAAGACCTGACTCCTATTTTGGGAGCTCTAGAGTGACAGTGTGCTGTGTTATCACTGAGACAACCTAACACCAGTGCATGTTAAAGTCTGCTTCAAGCTCACCCTGCAGAACTGGGATCTCCAAAGTACTTAACGGTGCATTAGCAGTGAATGCTTTAGTAGCTCTCTAGTTGCCCTCTTTTTATGTCAGGCTGTTTTAGAGTCACTTGTTTATCCACGTTTGCAGAAGCATGACATTCTCTTCCTACGAGACAAAAGTCTGAGAAAGAAATTCTATACACTTATAACAGTGCATGAATGCTTTAAATCATAACCAGACACTAGCTGTTCTGCTTTCCTACTATACACATTGATTTTGGCATAAACATTTTGTAATTTAGTATCTGTTTTTGTCTGCTTCAATATTTTTTCTGTGAACAAGAATTCCTGTTCTTCAGTGACAGGAGTGCCTGCAGAATTAGCTCTTAAAAGGAAGAAAGTCTATATGCCCTGCAGGTGATTGGGAGCAGAAAACTGAACCCAAAGGAACAAAAACATTGTGTATTAGTTGCATTGGTTATTGATGTTTCTATTTGTCCCTTTACAAGATCTAAGGGAGGCTGGGTTATTCTCTCTCATTTATGTCATCAAACCATCATTTATCACACTCTATTACCGTCTACTTCCAAAAATGGACAGTTCTGCTCCTTTCCGCCTTGCACAGTTCCAATATTCCTCGCATTTCTTTGACACCACAATGAACCAGTGCAGAGAGCCAGGGCAGCAAAAAGCTACTCTCTCCCCATTACCATGAATGGCTCTCTGTAGCTCTCTGCCAAATTATTTCTCTGACTGGACTCAGAGTCAGATAAGCACTACCACTGGAACTAGTAGTACACAGCTGGGGAAACAAAATTGTTCTTTTTGGCTACAGGAAGTCATTAGACTTTCAGAAGCTCATATTTTTAAAATGTCTTTCCCATTTTTAAGGGCTCAAGCCACCGTAAGGTTTTCTACACAATTTGCGAGTCTGGGGTGATGTTGATCTATGTTGTAAGTACCAGGGATGATAATCAGGATTTTCAGCAACATTCACAAAAAAGTTTAACAGATGTAAAAAAACAAACAAACAAAAAGCATTTCAAGAATTGTCACTGTATTTTACAGAGCATACTTACCTTGAGGATGAAAAAATTATTTCTGTACTTCACTGACACACTATGAAAGTACTTGAAAACATATCTAAGTATCTACTACTTATTCCAATCTGAAATACTTTCAGAGCTACTGAAAAACACTACTATGAATGCACACTTAATGATGATAAAAAGAAAAACTAATTGTATCTTGGTGCACGTAGCTGCTACAGAACCCTCTCTTCATAAAACTGGGTATTGCGTTGCTTCCTACAAGAAATAAAAACAGCTTTAAAAGTCACCCATCCAGAAATCTGACTTTTTTTTTTAAAAATGGATGGTGTTTATCATTTTTTCTAAACAAAGCATCACTCAACTTCTCCCCAGTTTCCTCAGTTTTCAGCAATCTTCTGCATATTAATATGGTTTGATATGGGTCCATAGTTCAGAAAGTAAAACAAAGAAAACTTCTTAAAAATTTACATATCTAGCAATGTAAAAGGAGGGGGCAAAATCAAGGACCAATGATGTCAACAGCAGAAATCTAGTGACGTTCCATAGGGTCATTATTTTGCATCGCTTAAAGATATGCAACAAGTGCGCACACAAACATATACAAAGCAACTTGTGCCAGTAAGTCTCCAACTGAATATGGACATGCCTTATAAATATAGCAGGTGAAACTTTAAGATAAACAAAAATTCTCTTGTTAGTAAGTTACCTGAAAGTATTTGTTGGTATAATCAAATCCTTCTTGCAAGTGTTTTAAATCCTCTTTCTGCAAGTGGCTTGGTAGCGGAGTCTCAGATTCTCCTTTAATGATCTTCAGCAACTGAACAGGCATTGCTGCTTTACCTAAACAAAAATAAAAAATAAGCCCCTGACATTACTCAATTTGCTCAAATTAAGAGTTACTAGAAGTTACAAGTTTACTCAGAATGGGATGCCTGTTTTGTCACAAGACAGTTTGACTACTCAAGACTAAAAATTTCCATAGGCTTTGGCCTCATATCTTAGTATCATGAACAGAAGGAAGAGAGAGTAACATTTGCTTGGAGACAGACCTCCACTCAAATTGCTTTATTTTGCAAACATTCCATGACACTTCAAATGGTAACAAAATACTACATGACATATGATAAAAGGCAAGTGATGAAATAAAGAGTAATGTAAGTAGTGCGACTATTATATACAGAAGTGCCCACTAAAACCTAAGCAGAGTCTTTGAATGACAAAGCCAAAGTGGAAGTTTGTATGTCCTTCCCAGATGTTTCTTGCCAAGTGAAATCTTAAGGTACAACTAGAGCTGAATCAGAAAAGGAAGCAGAGATGACACATCATGCAAGTCCTCTGACTAACTTCTAAACAGGTTTGTGCACTAGTCAAAGTTTCCTCATCCTTCCTCCACCCCCCCCCAAAAAAAAAAAAACAGAAAAAGATTTAAGGTCAGAAAATACCTAAGATACTGCATGTTAACTAGCTACGCCTACCACACATTTCCAAGGAGCCAAGGAAGACGATGAAAGTACTAACCAGAAGGCTGTAAAAGAGCCTTAAGATAATAAAGTTGTTAATGAAGCTAGTCAGCCAGCGGATTGTGGAGCTGAGGACTCCTATCCATACCGCTGCCCACATCAGATTGGCTGCCTTGAGAGATGTTACCTGCACCGAGCCCAATCAATATCTGAAGCAGTGATATGTGGCATCAGTTGCACCAGCCTCTGCTGGTCTCCAGAAACACCCTGGGGCTCTTGGAGAGCACCATTTTTGTAATAATAGTTCTTAAACGAGGAATATAGTTAATGTGGCCCTGTATGCCAACTCTCACTCCACGTAAAGCAAAACTCATCTTAAATTTAAGATTACTTTGCATCTAGCTTGACAGATTGGTCGATATATATTTTTCCTCATAATAAAGAGTCTCGCCTCAAACCACAGGATGGGGTAAACAGTGTTAATATTAAGCTGTTCCCTATAAGCCAATCTGGCTGCATCAAAGAAAAGTATCTCCCATTTTAACTTAAGATGAATATATACTGCTTACACAGAGATTACTTTGCATGCTGATCAACTTCTTAAAAGAAAAAAAGTAATAAAAAGTAGGCACATACAAATGCAAAGCACTGACTGCTTGGGGGGGGGGGGGGGAGGGGGAAGAAAACCACACAGTAAAAATCTGTGACCGTGGTGTCCGCTGTTCTAACAGTGCTAATAGTCAATGAAATAAGTTCTTGCTTAAAACATTTTTATTATCAGAAAAAGAGGGGAGATGAACAGGAGCCTGCTATAGTGAAGTTACACATTTGAGAAATGCAAGAAAATGATCTAGATATAAGCAGTTATTGCTATATTTTCTCAGCATATGGTTATCTCATTCTTTTGGGGCTTTTTTTTTTTTTTGCTTTTTATTTTAACTGGATATCTACAGAAAAATAACAGTATTAGTTTATTATAAATTACTGAAAATAGAACATAGTTAAACAAAAATGCCTTCTAGTTTCTTAAATCCCATCTGATAGGGTTACAGCCACAGTTCTAATTTCAGAAAGGGTTTTAGAAATCTGTTTATGACAGCGAAAAATGTACACAAAATTTTGTTTCCTGTACTTTGGCATGAACGCAAAAAAGTACATATTCTACTAAGCCGAAATTTAAACTATGTTTTTATCCCAGTTCAGAAGAAGTGCTTTTTCAGTCTAGACAGACTGAATCCTTACAAAGTATTCATTTACAATTAAAACATGAATGGAAAGTCACACTAAGTAAAATAACCTAACTAAATAACCTTTCACTAACAATATTAACTCTTTTTTTAAAGTTAAAAAGTAGTAACAGCAAAACAACCTCCGGCTTCTTAAACTATTGTTTCTAAGCAACAAAATATGCATGAAAAAAACAAAATACATTCTAGCATGTCTGACAAATGTTATCTCACTTGGGAATAACATTATTGCCTGACTTGAGAATCTCTTTTTCAAATTGTAACTTAGACTTTGAAAACTTGCCCTCATCTATACCAAAATACCAGCAGCAGCAAGAACTCAGAGAAGACCTAGTAAGAGCAGAATAACAAGGCCACAGCGCCATGCATCTTACCTGCTTACATTATATACTCCCCTACACACAGTATAGGCCAGCAAGCACAACTCGTTTCTCCATAACTTCCTCCCCAGTGTTAATTAAATAAGGAGGTCATATAACATAGAAAATATATCCACTACTCAAAATACCTTACATTTTGAACAACAGGCATCATACGCACCAATTCTGATGAATAAATTTAAGCAGCTGACTACTGAGACAACTATTAAGAAGACTAAGACTACTAAGAACAGAGATGGCTTACATGAGGAAAGAATTTATATAGTGTCACATAACTGAACAAGAATTAGTTACAGAGCCAGAAATTACCAACCTTCAGCTCAGTAATTATTTATGTGTACAATGTTAACTTGTCTCAATTGCAAAGTAAAGCATGTTAGCCTATACCTTAAAAACAAAACAAAAAACCCTTCAAGTCTAATTACATAAGCTTTTGAGAATCTTTTACCACAAAGAATTTTACTCTCCTAAAAGGAGCACGAAAATGAAAATAAATATCTGGAATAGATAGCAAAGCAGGGAGCTTCAATACATCATAAAAAGGTAACTGTTAAAATCTCATTCTTTCACTAGGGTGCAACTCAAGTATTATCAAATGCCAGGCACCCAATATGAAACAGCAGAGTAATATATTCCTATTAGGGTCCACAAATGTCTAACTGAAATCTCAGTAGTCCTCTCCTTCACTGCATCTGATGACCAGAGCTGGAAAAACATAGTAATAGCCACAAGAACTCATCAGTAAAGCTTTTGACCAAGTTTAGTTTTGGGTTTCAAGGCTGGCTTTTTAGGGGGCTGTGAGGGTGGGGGAAGAATCAAGGCTGAAGCATCAACTTCATATTCCACATATTTTTCAGTCCTGCCACAACATCCCCATACACCTTGCAACTTCATTCAGCTGATGGTGGTGAAGGTACTGATTGTCCATAACCCCTAAAATTTATGCTATATGATACACAACAGGACACAAATCATTGGTAGAAGCATGAAGTATTTCGTAATCAGTACTCATTTCCAGCACTCAGTTGACTGAGGAATAAAACTTTCAAACCTTCAAGATGTCAGGTTTTAACAAATAGCACTGAAGCCCCATGACACCTGGGCATGTCAAACCTCTCAAGCCGCCAATGTTAAGAGATCTACCATTGTCTGAGCTATTACAGCTATTTCAATAGTTTAATAAATGGATATCTGTGTTAAAATCTTTTTACTACAAATTAAAATCTTCATGAGAATCATATTGAACTTCCTGTTATTCTGCTACGCAACTTGACTTCTATTACTTATCTCTAGTCTTAATTTACTAAATTAAAATAGGACTAGGACTGTAAAGTCAAGTATAACATTCAGAAATGTAAAAATCAAAACGTTGTCAAGGCTTGACTTCTCATTTGTACACTTACTTGGATGACAGTTTCCACAGAATTTCTCGTTACACAGCGCACTGGAGAGATGATAATCTGGAATTCTCATCAAATCACGTAACTCAATTTTAATTGGATTATCTAGCTTTTGTTTTCTGGGTGCAATATTTGTAGAAGAGCTCAGTGCTTATGCACGCTAATGTCAATGAAAACTGAATTCTGCATAAATCACTATTAAAACAAAACAAAAATGAAGGCCATATTAATGTCCTAGTAGTGGCCTAGATTAAATACAACTTTGTCATTGATTTCCTTCGAACATGACCTCATCTTTCAGATTTTTAGGGAAGAATTAAGGTTTGTTACACACTGCGATATTAAAGTTAAAAAAAAAAAAAGATGGCCTATGTTAATTGAGGCTGAAGCCTACACAGTCTACGTAAAGAGAATAAGAATGTGTAATTTCTACTCATGCCAGTACACATCTGCTGAATTATTTTCTGTTCATTTTGTTATTTCTTTATTATTTTAATATTATTAATTCTTATGGCAAATAATGAATAAAACATCCCTTCAATTTGCTGCTGATATAGGTCTCCAGGTCCATATCTTCTGGCCATAAACCTACACATCTTTATACTAATAACACAGCAAGTGTACTTGCTGTGTACACAACAGGTACTTATAGATCATTTCTTAAATATATATGCAGAAGTCTCAAAAAAAAGATAGAAAGAGAGAGAAGTAATATCAAAGATTCCTTTACTTTAGCTTATTAAATTTAGATTATTAAACTTAGATTAGAGTTTACTAATTGGAGATCTAGTAGAAGAGGCCATAACTCTACATAATGTTATAGATGCAGAAAGCTCTGAATAGACCTTTACACTACCACTTATCTCCACAAAATTTCAGTGTGAGAAATTTAGCAGCCACCCACTGCAAAACAAAGCCTGTACCTCAGGAAGATAGTGATGCAGAGTAAATCCTTTCTGGATGTGAACTGCAGTTACTTCACATGGTCTATACAGCAACTGCAAAAAGCTGAAATACTTAAAAGTAAGAGCTTTACGTGTATCAGCTTAGATGTATTAGCTACAAAAATAAATAAATAAATAAAGAAATAAACCTCAGCCTACTCAGTGCTTGCGCAGAGTTCAAACAGCAACACTACGAGAGAAAGACACTTTCACCCTCTAAGGCACCGCGTTTGCCATAGCAGAGGCTCAATTTGCATAGCACAGACTGCGTACACAGGCAGCAGGGCAGCAAGAAGGGTGCAGGGAGTTTCTAGGCTGCAAACGGGAAAGCAAGACGGGGCAGACGCGCCAGCTGGCCGGCGCGGGCCGGCCGGGGGCGGAGGCTCGGCTCTGCCCCCGGGGCAGCGACCCAGAGGGCAGGCAGAGGCGGGCGGACATCTCCGGGCTGTAAAAGCCTCTTCTTCCACCCCCGCACCGGCCACCCTCCCCCTCAGCCCGGCCATCCCTTGCTCCTGCACAGGTCCCACCCCGCTGCGCCGGAGCCCGGGCCGC